GGGACAAAATATTTGCAAATGATATGACCAGTAAGGGGTTAATGTCCAAAATTTATAAACAGCTCATACAACTCAACAGCAAAAAACTCCAAACAACCCAATCAAAAAATGGGCAGAAGACCTAAAGAGAAAATTTTCCAAAGAAGATTTACATGTGGCCAATAGGCACATGAAGAAATGTTCAACACAGTTAATCATCAGAGAATGTAAATTAAAACCACAATGAGATATCACCTCACACCTGTCTGAATGGCCATCATCAAAAAGAACACAAATAGGGCTTCCCTGGTGGTGCAGTGGTTTAGAGTCTGCCTGCTGATGCAGGAGACGTGGGTTCGTGCCCCAGTCCGGGAAGATCCCACATGCCATGGAGCGGCTGGGCCCATGAGCCATGGCTGCTGAGCCTGCGCGTCTGGAGCCTGTGCTCCGCAGTGGGAGAGGCCACAACAGTGAGAGGCCCGCGTACCGCAAAAAAAAAAAAAAAAAAGAACACAAATGATAAATGTTGGCAAGGATGTGGAGAAAAGGGAGCCCTCGTACATTTTTGGTGGGAATGTATATGTATGTATTTTTGGTGCAGGCACTGTAGAAAACATTATGAAGGTTTCTCAAAAAACTAAAAATAGAACTACCATATGACCCAGGAATTCCACTCCTGCATATATATCTGAAAAAAAAATTAATTCAAAAAGATACATACACCCCAATGTTCATAGCAGCATTGTTTACAATTGCCAAGAATGGAAGCAAACTAAGTGTCCATCAACAGATGGATGGATAAAGAAGATGTGAGATACACACACACACACACACACATACATACACAAACACACAATGGAATACTACTTATCCATAAAACAGAATAAAATTTTGCCACTTGCAAAAACACGGATGGACTTGGAGGATGTTAGACTAAGTGAAATAAGTCACACAGAGAAAGACAAATACTGTTTGATATCACTTATATGTGGAATCTAAAAAATAAAACAACAAAATTTGATGGTCAATTACACTGAGGCCCAATCTCATTATATTTGGGAACAATTAAATTAAAACAGTAATAATATTTCACTCTTATTACACTGCAAAAATTAAGAGACCAAAAAATTCAAAAAGTTCACAAGGATGTGGAAAACCAGGAGCTCTCACACACTGCCAGTGGGAATATTGATTACCCAATCACATAAGTGGTATAGGAAAGCATATACAGCCATGCCTAAGATCAAGTATTTCCACTTTTAGGCATATACCCAAGAAAAGCTCTCCATAGGTTCACCAAAAAACACATAAAAGACAGTCACTGATGTATTGTTTTTACTGGCATAAAGACTGAAACAATGTACATGTCTATTAATAGAAAATAGGAGAAGAGATAAACATCCATCGTATTTATAAAATTCCATTCCATTCATACAATTAAATGTCATACAGGAAGTATAAATATGTATAAAAATTATGCTGAGCAAAAACAAGCAAGTTGCAAAAGAGTTTGTAGTATAAATATAACATATAGACTTTAAAAGCATGAAAAACAAATTTTATTTATAGATACAGATAAATACCTATGGACCAATAAATATTCATAAAAATAGTACCTATCAATACATGTTGGAGTCAGGGAGGAGGAGAAGACAAGATGGCTGAGTAGAAGGATCTGAGCTCACCCCTTCTTATGGAAACACTAAAATCACAATTAACTGCTGAACAACCACTGACAAAAAAATGCTGGAACCTATCAAAAAAGATACCCTACATCCAAAGACAAAGAAGAAGGCACAAGGAGACAGTAGGAGGGGAGCAATCATGATAAAATCAAATCCCATACACACCAGGTGGGCTACCCACAAACAGGAAAATAATTATACCACTGAAGTTCTCCCACAGGAGTGAAAGTTCTGAGCCCCACATCTAGCTCCCCAGCCTGGCGGTCTGGCAATGGGAGGAGGATCCCCCAGAGAATCTGGCTTTGAATGCCAGCAGGGTTTGATCATAGAAATGCCAGAGGACTGGGGGAAACAGAAACTCTACTCTTGGAGGGTGCACACAGGGCCTCAAGCACACTAGGACCCAGGGGAAAAAAGCGGTGACTTCATAAGAGACTGGGCCAGACTTACCTGCTAGTATTGGAGGGTCTCCTGCAGAGGTGGGGGGCAGCTGTGGCTCACTGCAGTGATAAGGATGCTGGCGGCAGCAGTTTTGGGGAGTACTCATTGGCATGAGCCCTTCTGGAGGCCACAATTTTCTCACCAAGACCTGGACCCACCCAACAGCCTGGAACCTCCAGTTCTGGGATGCCTCAGGCCAAACAACCAACAGGAGGGGAACACAGCTCCACCCATCAGCAGACAGGATGTTTAAAGTTTTCCTGAGTAAACAGCTGCCCAATAAACACACCCCCTGACACAGCCCTGCCCACCAGAGGGACAAGACCCAGCTCCACCCACCAGTGGGCAGCTACCAGTCTCTCCCATCAGGAAGCCTACACAAGCTTCTTAGACAGCCTCAGCCACCAGGGGGCAGGCAGCAGAAGCAAGAACTACAAACCTGCAGCCTGAAGAATGGAAACCGCAATCACAGAAAGTTACACAAAATGAGACGGCAGAGGATTATGTCTCAGGTGAAGGAACAACATAAAACCCCAGAAAAAACAACTGAATGAAGTGGAGATAAGCAACCTTCTGGAAAAAAAGTCCAGAATAATGATAATGAAGACGATCCAGGATCTTGGAAAAAGGATGGAGGCAAAGATAGAGAAGATACAAGAAATGTTTAACAAAGACCTAGAAGAACTAAAGAACAAACAAACAGAGATGAACAATACAATAAATGACATGAAAAATACACTAGAAGGAATCAATAGCAGAATAACCGAGATGGAAGAGCGGATAAGTGAACTGGAAGACAGAATGGTGGAAATCACAGCTGCAGAACAGAATAAAGAAAAAAAGAATGAAAAGAAAAGAGGACTTCCCTAACATGGGAAAGGAAAGTGTCACCCAATTCCAGGAAGCACAGAGAGTCCCAAGGAGGAAAATGCTGAGACACATAATAATCAAACTGACAAAAATTAAAGACAAAGAAAAAATATTAAAAGCAACAAGGGAAAAGCAACAAATAACTTACAAGGAAACTCCCATAAGGTTATCAGCTGATTTCTCAGCAGAAACTCTGCAGGCCAGAAGGGAGTAGAATGATATATTTAAAGTGATGAAGGGAAGAACCTACAACCAAGAATACTCTACCCAGCAAGGCTCTCATTCAGATTCAGTGGAGAAATCAAAAACTTTACAGATAAGCAAAAGCTAAGAGAATTCAGCACCACCAGATCAGCTTTGCAACAAATGCTAAAGGAATTTCTCTAAGTGGAAAAGAAAAGGCTGCAACTAGGAACAAGAAAATTACGAATGGAAAAGCTCACCGATAAAGGCAAACATACAGTAAAGGTGGGAAATTACCTGCACACAAATCAAAACCAGCAACTGTAAGAGGAGAGCACAAATGCAGGATATTGGAAATGCATTTGAAATTAAAAGACCAGCAAGTTAAAACAATCTTGTTTATATACAGACTGCTATATCAAAATCTCAAGGGAATTGCAAACTGAAAATCTACAATAGATACACACGGAAAAAAGAAAAACGAATCCAAACAAAACACTAAAGTTAGTCATTAAATCACAAGAGAAGAGAAAAAAAGATGAAGGGAAGAAAAAACACCTACAAAAACAAATCCAAAACAACAAAATGGCAATAAGAACAAACATAAACTTCATGGAACAGCATGGAGGTTCCTTAAAAAACTAAAAATAGAACTACTATATGATCCAGCAATCGCACTCCTGGGCATATGTCTGGAGAAAACCATAATCCAAAAGTACACATGCACTCCAGTGTTCATTGCAGCACTGTTTACAATGGCCAAGACATGGAAACAACCAAAATGTCCACCAACAGAGCAATGGATAAAGATGTGGAACATATATATGATGGAATATTACTCAGCCATTAAAAAGAATGAAATAATGCCATTTGCAGCAACATGGATGGACTTGGAGATTACCATACTAAGTGAAGTGAGTCAGACAGAGAAAGACAAATATCCTATGATATCGCTTATATGAGGAATCTAAAAAAAAAAAAAAAAGATACAAATAAACCTATTTACAAAACAGAAACAGACTTAGAGAACAAACTTATGGTTACCAGGGGGGAAGGGGGAGGGGGAGGAATAGATTGGGAGTTTGGGAATGACATGTACACACTGCTATATTTAAAATATATAACCAACAAGGATCTACTGTATAGCACAGGGAACTCTACTTAATACTCTGTAATAACCTAAACGGGAAAAGAATTTGAAAAAGAATAGGTACATGTATATATATAACTGAATCACTTTGTTATACACCTGAAACTAACACAGCATTGTTAGTCAACTTTACACCAATATAAAATTAAAATCTTTTAAAATATGTTGGTATCAGTGGCATAGGGAAAGGGAATGGGATCAGGAAGGATTATACAAGTACTTCAATTGTAAGGTAATGCTTTATTATTCTAAAAACAAAACCCAAATTAATAAAAATTTAATATTTGATAAATTTGAGGGTGGGTACACAGGTATTCATTATATTGCTTTCTAGAACATTTTTATGTGTTTTTAATTTTTCTTAAAACAAACAAAAAACTCTAAAGAGATTCCAATAAGATACACTCAGAATTTCTCACATATGTTAAAATAAATTCCAACAAAGTAGAGGTTTATAAAAAATGTTTATCATTTCTATTAACTGAAATCCAATAAAGAAATTCTTAACTGCTCAATATGATAAAATGTTTGTGATAAGTTACAAAAATAGTTTCAACTTACAGAATTAGTATATCAGAAATCTTAACATTAACTACATTTTTATAAAGCCTAATAACAATTATTTTGTGTGGAGAGATGAGAAGAAACTAAAACTAATAATATTTTTTTAAATAGAAGAGCACACACAATACCTTGGAGGCACGAATCTGCCTGTGAACATCCGTTAGTTGTTGGATTTTGTATTCTAGTTCTGAAATCTGGGCTTGAAGCCACGTCCAACGGCTGCCAACTCTTGCTCTGTCTACAAGCCACTTCCATTCAGTACTACAGTTACTGTGAACAAGACAAACACAGTTAGTCAAAGCACAAAGACAATCAAGTTTTCACAGAGATTGCTTAATAGCTTCCTTGACTCTTGTCATACAATCCCGAATTACTTTATAAAACATCTAATTATATGAAAGAAGAATGGTATATCAACTTCTCAAAGATTTGATTTCCTTATCTTTCTATCCCACAAACACCTGTTTTTATTCAATATTGTGTACCCAGTAGTAGGATAATCTCCTTGCTATTTAATACTTTATTAATGGTCAAGGGCTGAAACAGAAGTAGGCCAGCAAAGGAAAAGAAACAAGAATGACAATACTAACACCATGTAAAAACTGTTACATGAGCCTTTTATATGTAAGTAGATGTCAAGTATAAGACAAGTCATTTGAACTGTGCTAGATCTAAATCCATGTAACAAACCATAGAGTACTCAATTTTACTAAATGTAATTTTCATTTGCTAGAACAGGAATCAATTTTTTAATGTCAAAAATTATCAAAAATATGAATGCTCTGCTACATTTCAATAAACATATCAAATATATAAATCCTGAGATGTTTATTAAGATAAACAGCTTGTTAAAAACTTTATTCCTAGGATTCACAGCTCAGAGATGAGAAAGAATTTATATACAGGCTTTCTTTCATGCACATTTGAAAATAAGGGTTGAACCTTAATTAGCTCCTCTATCTTTTGGCAAGGGCACTGCTCTAACCCTCAGTTTGTGGGATTACAAATTAATTACCTTAAGAAAATATTTCAACCACTCCAACTAGAAAACAATCAGAGTGAGGGGGGGGAGGAGAGGGAGAGAGTGACAGACACAGAGAGAGAGAGAGAGAGAGAGAGAGAGAGAGAGAGAGAGAGAGAGAGAGAGAGAGAGAGAGAGTGTGTTTGTGTGTGTGTGGTGTTTGG